AAGTCTATTCTTTACAATTTAGAAGCAGAAAGATTGTACTTGCCTCTGTCTAGTTAACCATGGCTCCTCCAAATAATTTCCAAGCCACTGACTGCAGACCTGACGAGGCGCGACATCTGAACTCTTCTGGATCTGTACAAAATAGATCTCAAGCACAAGATATTTAGCTTATCAAAAAGATGTTTGTTACTCAGCAAGAGCCTATTATTGCTATTATTATTCTGTCACTGATCCTTTTTAATCCTTGGATGTTCCTCCTTTGCGTTTTTGTCTATCTACGTGGTAACCAAACCGCTGTTTCGGATATGACCTCTTGGATTTGTTTTCCATTTAAACGTGACATTTTTTAATTATCTTTGAAGAGATTCTGATACGATGATTATAAGAGTGAAAGTCATGCCTTGAAATGATAAACAAAAGCTTCATTTCATTTCCTTTCAGAATACTTGGGTAAACATATTTTACCTTTCAAGTACCTACCTCGGACCTAGTAGCTAGGGTCACGTGCTAAAATCACAATGTCAATGGGCCGGCTACGACTGCGGATTGGAAACAACTTCTGGAATTGCACAGACCTGAACAAAAAGCGTCTTCAAACAGATTATCAAAGCAACAGTTTTAACAGGGCAGTTGAAAATGAATTTTAAAGTATGCAGCTTCTCTCAGATATCCTGGAGTTTGTATCTCATTAACCTTTCATCTCCATTTGCTTAATGATGAAGCAAAAAAAAAATTGTTCATGGGTTGGAATCCCACTGGAAAATAGTATTTACCTATAAAGTTAGGACTTTTGCTGCAGTAGGAGCACATTTGCCTCTGGCAAAAATCTTTTCTGAAATGACCCTGTCATTTTGTGGGTAGGCTTGTTTAACTTCTTGAAGACGAAAAGGGTTTCCTATATTCTTGTACTTACCGGTTGCACATCACTACTGATGGACCATATCACTGCTGGACGTCACAGACCTAAATGAAATATTTTTTAAAAACAGAATCAATAAATAACATCAACACACTGCCTTTGTTGCACACTTGGAAACCAATCGCAGAATCCATTTCCCACTGTCACTTATCATCAAACAGATTCGAATTCAGCCGAACATCATTTGGAATTCCAAGTCTTGAAAATTGCATTCTTTGGTACACTAGGAGCACCAGTTAATAAAGAAATGTCGTAGGTTTGAATCCTACTAGGGTGTGAACGAATAAGTTTTAGTATCATCCGGGAATAAGGGCATGTATCAGTACAATCAAATTTAAAGTACTCACCTTCCGTGTTACACTTCCTTGCCTCTTAGATGCTGCTGTCGAACGCTAACTTCATGCACTAAATCTGAAACCCAAAGAGATAATCTAACAGTTAGAGCATAAACAAATCTGTCTTACCTTTAGAACTTTGACTTGTTTTCTAGTCGTAATCAGCATCGACATGCGTTTCTTCAGGAACGCAGCCAGAAAAAACTTCCAAGTGAGCTTCTAGACAGAGTACTGGTTACACGCATTCAGTTTGCTGTAGTCGGTCTTCAGAGGGCGCGCCCAAAAAGACGTCTTCGAAAAGGCGATGTTCGAGCAAAAAAATGTAAAAAACGATGTACGAAGTTCCTGAAATGAAACTTTTAAATTATTTACTATTGGTTTAAAGAAAAAATACAATGATGAAACGGCAATGTGTTGGTCACACTTTATTTTTTTCCTCAGAAGCAACTCCGTTACAACATAATCTAGTTTATCTAAGTTTGTTAGTGCTGGTTTAAAAAAAAAAAAACAGACAAGCTGACGAAATAACTTTCGTTTTTTAAACTTTATTTTTCATCAACTTTTAACCACGTACAATTCAATCACATTAACCTTAATATCAATGTTCCTGCCCTTCCTTCAGAACCTCACGTACGTCTTCAAAATAAGTAGCTAGTGCCATGCGTTTCTTCAAGAACGCATCCAAAACGCAGTAAAGTGGTCAGAAAAAAAGTCATCTTGAGACGGCGCGCCAAAAAAAATGTGAGTCCATTCACCTTAGCCAAAAAGTGGCGGAGGAGTCCGAAAAAGATAAATTGATCGATTTCCAACGCACCTGAATTTAAAAGAGTTAGTCATTTGTGTTTTAATAGCAAACACGCTGATGCGACATTCAGTGTCACTTAATGTGCGCATTTAAAAGACATCACACTCACAACTCAGTGTTTTATTTTTGTTTTATTTTTTTTGCCGTTATTACAACAATTTTTTTATCATATCCCTTCAAATTAAATCATCATTAGTACTTAAAATTAATTACCTAAAGATTTAGCTTTCAATTAAAAGAAAAAACACACAGACAACACATTAGATGAAGTGCTTTTATTAAATTGAGTTTGCTGTTTACAGAAATTATGTAGTCTATACAGATGGGGTGCGCTTCTTAGAATTTGACGTCCGAGCAAGACCGAGGAGTGTGACATGCGTCCATAAAACCTCGACACCTCGAATGAAACACACCAGGGTCCCCCGGACGGTACGCATGAATATTTGGTGGCTTGCTATAGAAACATTGTCTATACCAAGCCTTCACAGTTTTTGAAGCCGAATGCGGAATCAGGTCAAAAGTCGAATCGAAACCGAAAAAAGACGAATGGACCGAACCGAAAATCTAATCGCCTAATATATAGAAAACAAATCCACATACCTTGTGCCACATTGGGTTATTACTTGGGCTGATTGATGTGGTGCAAAGTTTACATAAGCTACGAACCTTACTAGGAAATTCAATGAGCCGATTTTCCTATTTTTGACCGAACGAGTCAGCTTTGCGTAAAATTTGTACCAGCATAAATCGGCCCTACCTTATATGGGCTGCTGTAAACTGTCTTGTTCCTCCACCAAAAGACCAAGAAGACTGGGATCCACAATCCAAAAAAAAGGCGTAGGTATTGGGAAAAAAAAGAAGAAGTCGTAGACGTCCATGATGAGGTGAAGTTGCCAAAAGCTGAAGTCCAGCCGGCCAATTAAATTTTAATAATAACATATTGATGGCTGTCTCAACTAACATTGGACTTTGCGAGTTTAGAACCGCGGAACAAGGTATCCGCAAACATGACAAAAATTCAACTAATTTCAGAATTACGGTAACTAAGAAATTTGTTGAAAAGGGTTGGGGGGAGTGAATATGGGCTATTTATTACAGATATCAACGTTAGTTAAGACAGCTTATTAAAGTTATTGCTATGTGCTGTCTCCTCTGTCTACCTTGCCTTCCTAATGATGAAGTCGTTTTCACTATGATGTCATCGGCTTCTGTTTGCAAAACAGCCAATTTACATTTTAGCGTGATTTTCTTCAGTTCAATTATGACCCTAAACCAACGATAAATAAAATAACTTTAGTAGAAGCGGTACGACGTCGTAGTGCAAACGATCATCATCATCAAGTCGTCGTCATCATCATCCCCATCATCATCATTATCATTGTCTGGTTTGGTCCTATGCGTTTCTTCTGAATTCATCGCCGCAAAGGCAGCTACCTCGTCTACTTAATAAACTGGACTATCTTTCTGTTCATCTGGAGAATCTTTGTTCTTCTTTCTTCGACCAGCCTCTTCCCTTGATGTAGCAATGGACCCACAATTTAATCACACACAATACGATCAAAAGCATTTTATTCACATTTACAAAAGCAACTATTTCTTGTTACAAGATTCAGGGAAAAAAGTAAATAGACAGCGTGCTGCTTTAGGATTCACTACCAGTGATGAAGTACTTCAAGAGTTGTCGGGGGTAGAACACTGCAGGCCACTTTCGGATGAAGACTAAGAAACCAATAGCCACGAACGGTCGACGTGAAGACTACGTACGCCTACCATTTGTAGACGATCTGTGCCTGCGTAGTGCAATGCAGGACTTCCTAAGAAGAAAACTCTCCAGCAAGGCAAAATTAACAAAAAGACCAACTAAATTGTCTTAATGTTAACGATGCCACGCCAGAGTATCCTCTCCTGCTGTTCCTGTGGCCTATGAAAAACTATCTATAACCTGCGAGGTTTTCACCTGAATGCCATTCAGGGAAACGCATATCAAGGTATGGTGGGCCTTCACATGTGTTGCCCTGAAATATTCGACCTAGTAGCATTCTCGTAATCACTTCGCAGGCTACTAACGTTGCTAAATGCCGATCGGCTTGTTCGTGCTGCTCCAGCGATGAAACTGCGTCGTAGATTGGTCTCGAAGACTTCCTACGCTTACCATTTGTAAACGATCTAGGCTGTGGTGTGTGGATTGTCCCATGTTGCCCTGGCAACCTGCAACAAGGTGTTGGCTCTTCACGGGAAGAAACGCCTTATCGCAGATTACCTTCTTTGCAAGACTAAACCTGTCATCTGATCTACCCTCACAAGTTCGAAGTCTGAAAAATCGACGCGCATCAAAAATGTTCTCTTTGCATTCGCACTGTTTAACATGAAAAGTCAAATTGGTATAGGTGGGTGCAGACTCGAATTTGCGAGACTAACCTGACTATCTACCTGTAACCAGAGAGACCACTGAGCCTGTAAGTGGAGGCCAAATGAGGTCCTCTCACTGCAGTAGCTGAATGATCTTATGTCTCTAGTTTACTAGAGTTCTTCTTAAAATAATAACTGTCTGGTTGAACCTTGCGAGTGAATGCTTCACTTGCCCAGCGCAATGACTGTCAAGTGAAGTGTAATGAATTGAATTTGGCGCAACTAAGCGGGAGACTGCAACGACGACGACGACGACGAAAAAAGGCGATGAGTCCATCCGAAAAAGATGAAAAAACGCAGTCGAACCGTTTCCTAGAAGCCGAGCCGAATCCTAAAAGCCGAACTTAAGTCGCTGACCGAACACCTGCAAAGGAACCCAACTTATCAAAAAGGGCAGGGGAGGCCCTTACCAGCCCAGGGAGCCCCGCTAACTGATCTAACTACAGTTAATTTAAGCCGGAAAAGATGTCCGAAAAGTTCAGGCCGAACGTGTGTGGAAAGTATGCTTTGCAAGGTTCATCCAGAGCTCTATATACCCCCCTTGACCCAACCCACAAACAATGCACCTGACCTGTACCATTTCACGAGGTTGGGTGTGCTGTGCTGATTTGAGGTGGAGCAGCCATGGATGGTAGTCTGTGGGCTGATCTGATCTGGTGGTCTGGTCTGACGATGGTCTGATGTCGGAGTTGCTGCATGGTCTGATCTGTAGCCGGATCTGAGACTCATCTGATTGTCTATTGTGGTGGTCTGATCTGGGGCTGATCTTATGGACTGCCGTTGTGGTCTGGTTCAATGGCCTAACCTGGAGGACTGACTGAGGAGGATGGTCTGCTCTGACCGCTGCAAATTAAAAACATGAGAAGCCGAGGTAAGAATAGTGAAAAGGCTCTAAACGCTTCAGAGAGCTACGTACAGAGACGTGAAGAAGAAATACGAAAATACGTTTTTTTCAAATTCAGTTGCAATTGAAAACTCTCATGCCCTGGAAAGGTTTGCAAAGACTCAATCAAGGGCTGTGCTGACAATCTTTTCGAATCTTTTCCATTTGTACTAAGAATCGTAAATTGCAATGTTCGTCACCATGGCATATTTTTAATAAACACGCGCTCATTATTATTATAAATGCCTTAGTTTTTAGTAAATTATTCTATTGCTCTTCTGTTTGGAGCAATACTACTCAAACTAATCTGGACAAGCTCCAAGCAGTACAGAATTTCGCTTGTCGTATTTTGAGCGGCGCTAAAAAATTCGATCACATAACTCCTTTGCTAAAAGACTTGCGCTGGCTACCAATCAGGCAACAACTTTATTTTCGTTTTGCTGTTCTGGTTTTTAAGTGCATGACGAGTTGTGCTCCGGAGTATTTGACATCAAAGCTCGTTGGAAGATCCGCCGTCTCGACAAGGAATACGAGAAATTCTTAACTTTTGAACATACCACTCTTTCGCACTGCCAGCGGCCAAAGGACCTTTCAATATAGAGCAACCTCTCTCTGGAATGAGTTGCAGCCTGCGCTCAAACTTAGCCCATCCGTGACGGAATTCAAGTGTTTACTCAGGCAAAAGCTTCTTAATGACTGCTTTATTTAATTAATTTAATTTATTTTATTGACCTTTGTCTTCTTTTATCATTGTTATATTCTTATTGTCATGTACTTGGTTTATAATTTTGTAATGTAAAATTGACTCTGAAAAGCCCCGTGGGGACGAGCCAATAAAGTATGTATGTATGTATGTATGTAACATTCCAGGCTCGACTGCAATATTTTCACTTGAGAGATCACGCGTGATGCAGAGACATCATATTAGGTGAGAAAAGGTTTGATTGTAAATAATTGGTACAAACTGTTTTTACCATGGCAATTATGAGGAATTCTGGAAAAATATAATGAAAACCATCTGACTTTTGTGAAAACTGATCACCTGTGTACAACTTTATATGGCAAGTCAAAAGTCATTCTTGATCCCAATCTATTTAATCGCAATTTGTCTAATTATAAATCGTATGTTAAAATCATTTTAAACTGCAAGTTGCATGTATGCATACCTTTTTTTATCAATTCACTAATTTAACCACGGATAGTTTTTTACACGACCCTGTTTGAAAGTAAGGGCAATCTACTTCAACGTAATTATAAGACAGTAAACCCGTTTAGTAGTTGCACACGAGGAGTTTATAAAAAAGAGTTGTTCGAAATTTCCTAAGTAAAAACGTTGACAACCAAAAGTACCAACTGATGAAGTCACATTTTCCCATCTTCACGGAATTAAGTTTACTGTGCGAGGTACTTTTTTGTTTATTCTGTAAGGGATAAATATTTGTTCAAATTCTTGGAAAAAACTTTAAAAAAACCCTCTGCAAACTTGAGGTTCCCCTTTACAGCTTTTATTCAGGGGCACCCAAAGACGGTTTCCTCCCAATGCATTGAAAACACATTTTTAGATTATCTACCTCTACAAATGCATTCTATAAGCTGCGCTATACAATTTGTATCTGTTCGGTCATCCTGGGGGAACTTAAGCCTTTTCGAAATTTCTGGGGCTTCAGTATATTATTGTCCCGAAAATTATAGGTGCAATTTTATTAATTTTTTTTTTAATCCTCTCTCCATCACACCTTTGAATCTGAATATTTTAGGTTTCCTTTTTCCTACGATAAATAGTCTAGCCTTGGGTGTGAAATGTGAAAAATTAAACTTCAGTAAATCGTATGGAATTTTGTTAAATAAGGTTTGAAAATTCATAAATGGAACGATCATGCCTACAAATTTTTGCTGTCCTCAAGTAATATAAAATTATAGGCAATATTTACTTCCCGGACAGATATTTTACAGAAAACAGTCGTCGGGTGCTTCTGTTTATTTGTCTCTATATCATTTAAAGGAGGAACGATGGCCTTATTTTGCCGGTGAGGTTAATAAACTTCATCAAAATGTCGCTTTGATGTTGCCGAGTATACCGGAAAAAGAAAAGGTATTAAATTTGTTTTTTTTATGGTGAATTATTACTGTCTGTGTCCCCAATATGAAATTGCATGAATAGCAAAATATGATTTGTTAGGTTACTTTCTTTATCAAAGACTCCATTGAGCTTAGCTTGTATTTTAGACGGCCACGTGTTCGACATGTAAGAACTACACAGGGCTTTCAAAATAATAAAAAAAATAAATAAATTTTACTGAGAGAGCATTTTGCTTCGTTTCTACTCGCTATTTTTCCTTTCAGAACAAATTAGTTTAAAACAAGAACATTCGACAACGAAAATAACTCAGTTAATTTCAAGTTGGACTCGTCGGAACACAAATTTCAACCGTACTGACGATAGAGTTAACAAGTATAATTTACCTCGTGCGCTTGTTTTAACATCCCAGACTGCTTCGTTCGTAGTTAGCTTTCTTTGTGCAGCTGAGAAAGACGGCTAGGCAGTTTAAACGAGAGCGTCTTGTTTCTTCTTCGTGAGCAACCTTCGCCAGCTATCACAATTGAAGCTGCCAATTTTTGAATATGGCGCGGAGCAACGTTTTGATTTGAATAATACATGGTTTCTTACTGCACGTGTCTATGCAGCAAGCCAACAAGGGTTGTTTGCCACACACACCATATGGGACTTGTAAGACTAATTAACATTTCAAATAAATTCCTTAAAAAGGTCCTGGGAGAGTAAACCATTTTAAAGGCGGAAAAATCGGTTAATTTTTTGGGTCGGAAAGGAAAAACTTGCAAAGTCGTGACAATTGCTCCTGTGTCCATGTTGTGAACGAAACTTGACAAATGTACGTCACAGTTGCTTGGCAAAATAATTGCAAAGATTTCCCATTTTAATACAGGAGTTTGCGGTCTTTTGATGCAGCTCAACGTAAAACTTTATCCGGCAAGGTTTAAATCATTAAAAATATAAGAAATCTCAAAGGCGAAAGCGTTGTCAAACAACAGTTTAACAGCGACAACAATACGCTTACCAGAGCAGGACGGTCTCAGTTCGTTCCGTTGAAACTTTCTTTTCTCCGTATATATCACATGAAACTTTTCGCTTTTAACGTGGCATGTGCCTCACATTTTTAGCGCCAAACAAGCCGCTAATTGTTGGATGAAAGATACGATAGGTGTTCTATAGCCTGTCATCGGAATCCGTCGATGTATGTTGTGGCCTCGATATATGGCGTATTTTATGAGTAGTTTCAGGGGCTGTTTACATGGAGGTGGGAGACCCCGACCCCAAGAAGGTGAGGTAATCCGCTCAGGTGGGGTAACCCCGCCCGTCCATATAATCTCTCATTTTAATTTGTTCACGTTTACATAATAGGTGGGGTGACCCGCCACATGTTACCTCACCTGGGGTCTTCCAAATCCATGTAGACAGGTCTTTAGTGGTTCTTTACTGGACAGTTACACCATGTTTGCTTTTTTGTCAGTTTCGCCTACAAAGTTTCACAACGGCCACCCTGAAGAAAGAAAGCGGCCGATACAAAAAAGTTTTCCGTTGTAGAGAGGTTTGACAAGAGTCAATATATGGATTATTTGTCCGCCGAGACAGGGCCATTCTATTTTATATCCCCATCCCCCCCTTCCCCCCCCACTCTCCTAGTACATGAGATTTTTAAGAGGGGTCGCTTGCGAGATGTTCTGAAGGGCTCAATACCAGCAGAGAGGTTTTTCTGAAGGGGGGTTGTTGTCCAAAATTGCAATTTCTTAAGGGTACAAATACCAAGAATAAATTTCTGAAAGGATAAAGGGAGAGCTATATCATCAATATAGGCATGGTGAATACAGTTTTATTTAAGAAGAGTACTGTAAAATTTCTTTTCTGAAGGGAACAAATAACGTCGCCTTTTTTTCCAGAGGGTACAGACCAAAATAATGGGTTAACCCCTTTGGAAAAATCAGATTTTTAGAAATGGACATTATTTAGTCTGAACAGGCTTCCTTTTGATCTACAATATTATTCAATACTTTTTCTGGCCTTATTCTCAAGAACAATTAATAAAGGAAAAAAATGTTTTTTTTTTCACCAAAATCATGGGTGAACCCCTTTGGAAAAATCAATTTTTGGGACTTTGAAACAGCATTCAACCTTTTTTCTGGCCTGAATCAGTTCTCTTTTAATAATACCAGGCACCTGCAAAGAAATCTGTTAGTTCCCTACTTTCTTGGTAAAATAAAGAAACATACAAAACAACGTTCACTCACAGTTTATTGCTGTTTTGCGAGTAAGTTAAAAAGTTAAGTAACCATTATAGAAACGAGGTTTTGTGGAACAACAGCTGAGTGACAACCCTTGGTTGTCGCTTCCAGGCTTCCAGGCTTTCTCGGGTGGAGAGAAGCGACGAGGCTGCATCCGCCCCGTCCCAGTTCGAAAATAATCCGTAGTAACAGCGACTCTCGTGTGAGCCTCTCACACGGGGTTCACCTTGTTGACAGAGCAATGACACAGGAGCCTCGGTTTAAACAGGAGCCAATAACCCGGGGCGGGCAACTTCCATGTCTCGTGTCAAGGTGTTTTCACAAAACAGTTTATTTTTACAACAATTTTGGCGCGAATTTAGAATATCTTTTTGGTGCCACAAACCACTCAGCAAAACCAAAAGACTTGAAAATGATACTTTTGAACTTTTAGCGACGTTTAGTTTTTATTCGTCATGCCTTATACTCCTAATAATGCGCTCGTGAACGGGGCGAAGCTCTCATGTTCGAGGGAAAAAGAACTTTAAAATGCATCTTAAAATAACCAAATTAAGCACTGAAGCACGCTTACCAACTCCGCGTTATGGCCAGTACCTTACGCATGTGCACAAACTGGTCCGTGCCGGAAAACGTCGTGTCATAGGCCTGGTATGGGAGTTGCTCTCTTGGGTTATGGGTTCCTGAGGTGGTATAAATAAGCCACATTCATCTTTTTCATGAGCCGATTATTTTCTGCTTGCTAATGATATTCAGATTTTGCATATGTAACGTTTTTATCTGTATTCATTTTTTCTATTTTAGCCTCCTCCTCCCTCACGGCCTCTGAGTCAATAGCCCATTCGGGCTCGAGGAATAATTGTTAAGTATATTTTTTTAGTAGTTGCCGTAGGGATCAGTTTACTTTTTGTCTTCTTGGTATTCGAGACTTTTAGCTATCCAGTTCTACACATGAGACTTTCCTCGTTAGTTTGTTGCTGTGGTTTTGCTTTTATTAGTGTTTTTGATATAAGTAATTCTAAGTTCCTAAGGAACTGCTTTTGCTTTAAGGAGAGTGGATAGCGTGTGGCCCACACTTTTAAAGATGTCCCCCCCCCCCCGCACTCAAAAATAAAAATCGCTCCCTTATTGGTTTCCATAAGGAGTTCCAGCAGTGGGCAATTACTGAACCATAGAACGATTTTTCCCTGTTCCTGAACGTTCCTAAGATTTTAACTTGCTAAAACGAGTAACACAGCAGTCATATCTTCATTAAAAAATTACACTCTGAGCTCTGTGATTGTTATAACATGTAGGGCATCTTTGAACATGGCTTTGTCGACTGTGTCACAGATATTCCACGTACTTTCCGGTATGGGGTTGGATTCCACTTTTATTTGAGGGAAATGTTAGTCTTAAAAAAATTGTCCAGGGAAAGAGGGTAACCCTCTCAGCAAGCGTTTATATGAGAAAAGTAGGAGGGTGTTTCTACCAACGAAAAAGTTTAGTCCAGTTAGACGGGTACCATTTTAGCGCAGCCAACTTTTTGTTTCTCATGCATATAAACGGTCCGCCAAGTTTTGTCATAAGGAAAAGAACGAAAAATTGGTTCGCCCAGCGGTAGATTGGGTAGGCAAGTGACCCTTCCACTCGGGACAAATTTTCTCCGTACAAACAGGGCCTCAATCTGGCACCCGCCGTAGCTGCAATCACAGGGTTTGCGTCGGTCAACCGATTTTCTTGAAGCACCATTGTCTGCCATTTTTTTACATCCCCCTGACCAGCTGAACTACCTATTTAATATCATAGGTGACGAATTAGTCCTTAATTTTGGCGCGAAATTTCAGGGTTAATTTGTAATTTCACATGTGAAATTACAAAATTGCCATGGCAACCCTTCCGTGCGTCTCAGTGTCAAGATGGCGACGAAGTTTTAAAATGCCGTGAATGAAGATGTCAGGGCACAAAAAGACACTTTAGAAAACCTGAACACACAAGAGAACATCAAGAAGGATTCTAACAGGTATTTTGCCGAAAAAGTCTGAAAAATTCTGAACTTTAAAAGCCAAATTTAAGGTCTACGCATTTGAGAGAGTGGAGTTCTCGATCGATACGATCCAGGATAAACATGTCAAAAATCCAAGATTGCTAACGTAGTTCGTCACCCATGATATTAATAGGTAATCAAATGGTATACTCTTGAAATTAGGGAATAATTTCACTTGCGTTTTGTCCAAATCCTAATAATTTCCCTCCCCTGAAGGCTCGGGAAATTATTAGGATTTGGACAAAACACAAGTGAAATTATTCCCTAATTTCACTCGTCACCATTTGATTACACATACAAATACAGTAAAAACCCACGTATAAGAGGCCTGAGTTGATAAAGAACCTCCTGGCGGAAATTTGCCACTTTGTACCCAAAAATGCAATATCCTGTTTAGCCAAGCATAATCAAGCAGGTTGTTATCTGTGGCTTACAGTTAAATTAGGCGGACATCCACACAAACTTTGTCGCTTTCTGCTTATTAGAGATATCTTCTAAATACAGGTTTGTTTTTCTTAAATCATGGAAAGAAACGTTTTGCCACATTGTGAGCTATTCGACTGCTGAATACAGGGTGTCTGCTTGATATGGGGTCTGCATAATACAGATTTCACCATACAATGTAGAAAATGACTTAATTAGGCTTTCACTGAGGAGGGGAGGTACAAGAAATAAAACATAATTGTAGAAAACACTCTCGTACAGTTTGAATTCGACTTTTACTTCTCGATTCACTAGAACAATTACAGCAAAAAAAAGAAAATACAGAATTAATAAACGCGGACCGAAAGCCTTACAAAAACGATAACTTAAAGAACAACAAATGA